AAACTATGTATTTAAAATTGAATTTTTCTTATTAAATTAAATTTCTTGTAATCATTATTTAAATTTAATAAAATCAAAGTTAACAATTTTAATTTTTTAAGGCATTATTTAAATTATTTCAAGAAAATCTAATTGAATTAAAAAAAATACAATGATCTCCACTAATCAATTTATCTTTATGTTATTTATTTTTTATTTTTTTATTATCATATAATATTAAATTTTTATAAAAATAAATTTATCATAAAAAAATTTCACTATAAAAAATAAAACACCTAAATGGTACCTACAAAGAAAGATTTATTATATAATATTCCACCAATGCAAACAAAAGAGGGGTATTTGCTGTACCAAAAATTTAAATTTTATTTCAAAACCAGAGTTTTAGCCTTTCTAAGTAGTGAGGTATAAGGATTTCTTTCTATTGTTGCTGTGTACAACAAGGGAAAAGAGGCCTCCAACTTATTTTTTCAAAAAAGTCCATCTACGATCATGTTCTTTATCTAGAATTCCGATTTCACTCGGCATCTCCACTCCTGGTTCCCTCTCCCTCTCGAAAGCCTTCTGCTTTCCTGGCCGGCGTCGATCTTTACGACTGTCTACCTGATTGCTATCTCTACCGAAGCAATCCAGGAAAGTTAGATTGGCAGCGATTGCGTTTATCAGATCTAAGCTTTAGCGTTCCAATTTCGATCTTCGGGCCTGACAAGCTACAGAGATCCGTTTAATTTCCGGCAGAGTCGACGATGAACGAAAGTCAAGATGGAGGCTTCATCGCCGTCCATATGCGGCGAGAATGCACAGTTTTAACTTAAAATACATGGTTTTTCCTCTTTTCAAATACCCAGCTGAAATATATGAATTTCTATCCAAATTCAATCACATTCTATTTATGTGAAAACAAACATTGACATATTTGAGGTGTACAAATTCAAATACATCTTATCAAATTCATGTTTCCAAACATACCATAAACCAATTTTGAAAAGTGCAGGGTGCATTTGGGGGTATATATTTTAAATATTACTGAAATATCCGAATTTTCAACTTTAATTTTTGGATTTCGATTTGGATAATTCGGATGAAACTACACTAAAATGAACCAATAATAAATTCAGGTTCAGATATGATTATCAACTCATGTATGAAATGACTAAAAAGAGCTATATGTTGATTTAAAATTTGAATTGTTTTTTTATTAAATAAAAATAATTAATTAAAATAAAAAAATAAATTTTTAATAATCAAAGAAGTAAAGAACAAATTCTTCAAAT